GCGTTATCGAAGTTTCTCGAAGGTTTTTGATAACGAGAACATTCGAGAATATTCGTTGCGTATGTTTTGGTCGCTACATATCTTTTGAAGTAACCCTTTTGAACGAACTGTTAGATCAATGACTTCCTGCCTGTTTCTGATAACAAAAGTAGGTTTACTACCTCTGTTCAGTATACTTAGGTCTGTAGTCAGTAATAGATCCATTATAACCTCTCCTCTTTGGTTGATATTACTGCTCCCCCAAAAAGTGTGGTGTGCATTAGCATCCATACCTAGGATTAGTTCTAATTTTTCATTTTTGCAATAATTAAAGAGCATAGTTAGGTCCCTACCTGGGTCTGTGACCTCATATGGTAAGTATCCTGAAGCTACTATAATGTTTTTACCATCATTTAGTGTTACTCTAATAATAGTCAAGTCTGCACTTGATAGATTAAGTATCAGGCTGGCTTTAACTTTATTATTAACCAAAATGCAAGTTCTTGGTTTATCTGCTTGTTTATGAAACAGTTTAAAATTCCTTAGATTGAGCCCCTTAATCTGGTCCCCATTTATCCATGGTTCCTGAATAAGTGCTATTTGTAAGGGTATTGTATGCCTCTCAGTTAGGGTCCTTAGTAATACACTACTGGCCCCTTTACTGTGATGCAGGTTTATTTGCGTGAATTGAATTCTATTGTCAGCCATTCAGATAAACTGATGTTGACNTTGAATTCTATTGTCAGCCATTCAGAAAAACTGATGTTGACGCTTAAGAAGCACGCTGTACTGGGTGTGATACAGGTGTCTGAAACAGTCCCTGTGTCACACAACCCCCCCTGTGGGTGGTGTCCCACCACCGTCCTCAGGTGGCGACCGTGCCATGGGTTCGCTCTCCACATTTCCTTTTGGATCCGTGGAGAGGTTCCCCTCAGCTGTGGCCGTTATTGAGGGTGGCGGTTTCCTGGGTCCCTTTCCCTTACGTAACACACTTCCTCCCTTCCCTTTCGAGACAGGAGTAAAGTGTGTCCGTTTGCCCCTTACCTGTGCCTTACCTCCTTTCCCGAGTGGCACTGGTGATTCCTCAGCCTTCCTCTTCCCAGATTTTTGAGGTGTGAATTTTTTCACATCCTTCCGGGCTGGTGGCTGCTTGGCAACATAATCTGTGAAGCAAACTCTACCCATTCCAAAATATGGACTGCGCTTCAGTTCCTCCAGTTTGACCATGCTGTTTTCGTCCACACTTAGGAACAAAGTTTGTCCTTTCGGGCCAACCTCTGTCTCATGGTGGACTTTCCAGATCGCCGTGTTCAGCCCTGGGTTTTGTTTTGCCAAAATTTCCAAGATCTTCTTGGACTCTTTTGGCAGCCCTGGTATGTGAGTGACCATCCGTTTATACTTGATCGGGTTGTAGGCTTCCAAATGGAGTTCTGCACCGTCCCAAGGTTTTATCAAGTTGACATGGTCAGTGAGCCACTTAAGAGAGCTCTCTTGAGCTGCACTGATCACAAGTGCTCCATCAGTGAGTCTGGTGTCTTCAAACCTTGGTACGTCGGTTCCATCAGTACCCGACAGTATCAAGTCTCCAACACAAGACTCAATAAGTAGCCCCTGCTCTGTGGTCAACTTGTTAGTGGGGTTGCCTGCGAGGACCAGAGCCACTTTTTTATCATCGGTCACCACGTCCCTGCAGGTTGGTACCCAATGAGTTTTCTTACATGGAGGTTCTTGAACCTTGTCCTCAGGTTTTTGAGCTCCGGTTCCCTTTGACTTTTTCAAGTCATCGGTTCCCTTGTCTCCCTCCTTTGGTAGGTTCTTCTGCCCCTCCATGTTTGCTCGGCTCCTCTTCAGCTTGCGCCTCTGACTGCCGCTCAGTTTCTCAGGTCTAAGTTTTAGACCCTCGATTTTGTCAGCTACTGCTCCCAGTTGATCTTGAGATTCCTGGTCTGCATTTGCTGACGTTGCTGTCTCTTTGCTAGTAGACGGTTCACCAAGTGTCCCGTTGTTGGCATTGAGACCTTCAAGTTCGGCGATTCTTCTGCGAAGAGTCGCCAGTTCACGATCTTGTTCCGACAGGTTGTCCGTAGGATCCCTGATCGTCACAAGTTCGTTGTTTTGTGGTTTTTCTATGTTTTTGTCCATATAGTTCCCACGAGAACTATAAGATATAAGTCGAGAAATAAAGGTCCGTCTTAGCAGAGCTCGATACTGTGATAAGGCTGTATACTCTATGGTGCGCCAGGTGCCATAGAAGATCCCAATGGTCACTTTACCTTTCGGCTAACTACCCTGTGACAAGTTAGCAACCCTTTCACTTGGTATGGCTGGGTTAGGGGGGCCTATTCGCTGTTAGCAAGCAGGTATGCCCAGGCCTACCGGTCCCAACTAACCAAAGTCATGACCGGCTAAGAGCAGTGGTACGTGTTGCCACCCCCACTGAAATAACTAGGGTCCGCGGGGTTGTTAGGCCCGTAATCCTTGCGGATTCCCCTGCGGGNCTAGGGTCCGTGGGGTTATTAGGCCCGTAATCCTTGTGGATTCCCCTGTGGGATTATATTATGATTACTCAGTAATATTAATTAAAACTCGTAATACGTGTAACAAATATTTTGCTGTCCTTGCACCTCGTAATATACCATCTTTTGAAAATTTATCTTAAGTTTTTTGTGAAAATTATTCATGAAATTATATGTTTGTTATGTTAACAACTTTTCAAAACAGTGGCGTATTTAGGGGTAGATCGTGGCCTAGGGTGTCATTTTTTCCAATTAAGAACTAAAATCTTAATAAATTTATTATTTATTTGTTTGTAACATAATTTATAAATTATATCAATTAATCTTAAAATGAATAAATAAAATAAAATTATATAAAATATATGTAACACTTTATTTTCGAAAATTTAAGTATTGTTGTTTTAAAGTGTATTAATAATTTTTATTTTAACATGTATGCAATTGTAAATACATTTTTGTTAGAATTTGTGTAATTAAATTATTTGTATAATTTTAGCGAATTACTTAAAATTAATTCACATCAAATAAATTAAATTAGAAAATTATAAATGTATGTGTTAGTAATAAATTATTGTTATTAAAAAGTATTATATTAATTAAAAATAAATATTAAAATATTAAAAATCAAGCTGTATAAATTTAATTTTCAAAATATTTATTTATGTTATTATTAGAAATTGCAAACAATTGTAAAACATAAATGTTCATCGAACAATACCTAATAGGCCGTATACCTAATGGAACAATAGAAACCGTTTGACGAACGTGTCCGTTCGTTAAAGGTATTTCGAGGAACGTGTCTGTTCGTTGAACGTATACAATCGACGAACGGACGATTCAAAAATAGACCCGCTGATCGTGAACGATAGAGATAGAGTGATAAATTTTATGGATTTTTTTATTCTACTTTAGATATAAGAACTAAATAAATTAGTACAGGATATATATTTCTAAATATTAGACACTTTCCTTTTTCACTTGTGTATTTTCACTTTAATATCTATACTAACTTATAGAAGTTGAGACCTCCACTTCTTTTTCTGCTGATACTATAGCATATGCCTTGTAATATAAGATCGAGTATTTTTATTTCAAGAAAATCATATATAGATATTTACATTATTATTAAGTGTTTATGTTAAGAAATTGGTATATTAATAATTATTAAATCTAGTTATATTATATTTAATAAGTATATTATAGATGTATAATAGAACAATTATTAAATATTATCAGTAAATAATGTTTTGGACACTTGTAGTAAGGTATATACTGCTCATTCTCAATAATGTATATAGGCATACATATAGTATTAATTATTAATAATGTAATCAAGTTTTTAAAAATGTTTGACTTCGACGTGATGCCGAGAAGGTATTAATTTTGCTATGATGCGTTTGTTATTTATTTATCTACAAATTCATATATAATTACTGAATGTGTCATAGATTATTGTATATAACATTATACATGTGAGAGGGTGAATTATTAGCTATAAGTATAGATCATTAAGTATAGTTTTTAATATAAATACCATATCATAGTTTATAATCATAGAGCATTATTAAGAGATCCCTACCATACATGCCGATATATCGACATTTGGGCCGATGTAGTGATCAATTATTTCGTTAATAATGCTGAGTATGAAAAATATGAAGCGATTATTAATGAATTAATTGTTGAACGCTCATCGGTCGACCTGGAGATTTATTTGTGTGAATTATATGAAAGACTATTTATCACAAAATCTGATTATGGACATCAACGTTGGCTTGACGGTAGAAAATTTATTAGTAATACTTATTATAATAAAATTAAAACTAAAAGTAATTGGACTAAACTATTTTTTTTTATAAAGGTTGAAAATTATGTTTACTTAGATTATTTTAATTGTACAGAGAGATTGAGCTTATTTACAGGTAGCAGTCAAAAGTTGAGAAGAGAATTTAAAAATCGACGTACGATAGATCTTGTTTGCGTGTACAACTTAATTGGATCACATAAACAAGATGAATGTTTAATACCTATTGTTAATTTTAATTTGGATGGCGAGACTGTAGATGAGTATTCAGAGTGGTATTTATAATTTGTAAATAATAAGTTTGTTTTGTTTTAAGTCAATTATTATTATTATTTTTTTTTTCATAATTTGTATATAATATTAATAATACAGTGATGCTATCATAATTAGCAATTGTTTTCAGTGTTATGTATGTGACAGGATGAAGACCAGGAACAGGTATAGATTTTTAAACATAGCTTTTTCGTCTACATATACTCTATTTTACATCATGAAATTTATAAGTTTATTATAAGAAAATAGTACAATATATAAAGTTATTGTTCATAAATTATTAATGTAGGTTAATTTTCTGACGTGATTGGGTTTTGGCCCATTGTGACGACCATGGACTATAACTATTTTCTCGGGTAAACATTGTTGTATTGAAAAATGCCGGACTGTTATTTTCGTCACACATTTCTTCTTCTTTTTCCTAAAACATAATTATAAATTTAATAACAATAAAGGTTATGACAATCTATGTTCATTAAACTCACATTAATTTGAAGCATATCTTCGGACCAAGACTTGACCCATCGTTCGACTATTTCATTGTATGCTAAATTCTTCAGCTCGCTTATGTAATTACTGTCACCTTTAGGAAAAGTATCGCATATTTCTTTGTCATTCAAACTTTTTATAAATTTAACCATTTCATCATTGTTTGTATGTTGAATTTTATGGCCTGGTCATTTATCGTCAACGTATTGTATGATGTGGTCTATTTGATGGCATAATAGTAAACGTGTTTTTATTTTTCTTGATATTGCACTGTTAATAGTACACTGTAAGTCCATAAGTCTATTAATGTTTTAGTTATTCAATAACACTCGACAGCCATCGACCATCCTGGATTCCAATACTAAATGCATGGTATCACGATTCAATACTTTGGTTATATTAAAATCGACATTTTGGTATAACATAATGTTCTCTCCTTTTACCGGAGGTGATTGTAGAAATTATGTTATTTCATCCATCACGCCGTAAATAATATTTAAATAGTCTGCTGACATACTAATATATCGTGAAGGAGTAATAATACATACCGTAACATTGAAGTCCGCCTTTGGATTCAGGCCCACTTGCAAAAATTTTCTGTCACTGAACGCAATAGTGTAACTGCTAGATTCAATCATCTCGGCTGGCGGTGTTGGTGCGATATAAATGTAGCGCTGTTTTCTTACAGGTTTGGCAGCCATATTGATCATAGAGTAGAGTCTTCTTCTTAGAGATGATGGTTCTTAATGACACTGTGACTTTATCAGTGATATCACGCTCATTTATGCGGAAAATCGCATATTTTCATAGGGGTGGCAGCAAATCACAGAACACATATCCTCGTATACTAACCCTTTCCTTCACTACTTAAGTAATTTCACTTTAAATGTAACAAAATCAATTATAAATTCGGAGAATCGCAAAACATATATACCCCGTATACTAACCCACATTCCTTCACAACTTAATCATTTTTATCTCATAATTTCTTATTAATTACAATTTAATAAGTAATTTCTAATAAACTATTCATCTTTTTATAGCCCCCTTCTTATGTACCCCCACATGTAGATTAACCCGCATACTTGTGATATCTACTGTCATGAGAGAGACCCCTCCATTACACTCTGAACCTTTCATGGGAAAAGGGTCCCTATGCCTTTCACCATATCCATTCCGACTGTGTACACCTCACGTCTAACTATGGCAGGGTGAACCCATATCATGTGGTTTAGCGGGGTATCCAGCTCATATATTATACAAATACTTACTTATAATAAATTAAAGGTATACCTTTTTAAAGAAAAAAAAATGTGTTCTACCAATACACAATAAATTTATACTTTTGCTTGTGGACTCCATGTTTATAATTAAATACCATTATTATATATAATATATATTATATTATATTATATTATATATATATATATATATATATATTTATATATAATTAAAAATAAGTAACAACACAAAAATAAAATAAATATCTATGATTTTATTATATATTTTAGACACGTGAACATTGTTTTTTTTACATAAAAGTTTATTTTAAACTATGAATAAAAGTCAAAGTAAATTTTTATATAAAGCAAAACATAATGAAAAATACATTTTTAAATAAATTTTAAGAATATAGAAATGAAAAATTTAATGCATTGCCACGTTTTCCGTAATAAATTAGAGATAATTTTTCCATAGATTCATTTATTTCATCGTCTGTGAGTGAAATTATTTTAGGCAAACATAGCTGTCTATCGTTTTCTAATCTCGCTATTAATGTTCGACCGTACTTGGTTTCCACAGATCTCAAAGTAGTTACCCGATACTCTTTATTTAGTGTCAGTGAAGCCATTGATACATATTCATTGTGAGAGAGTGATTTAATTTTATTCAGTACAGACATTTTTTCTAGAAAAAAAAACAAATCATTAGTTTAAATATTAACTATACTTATCGTTAAATTAAAATATAAGATTCAAGCAATACAAAAAGAATGAGAAAAATTAGTTTTACTTACTTATACTAAACTTGACTTTTACACGACACGTACAAAAACTGCGTTTAAACTAAAATAATATTACTGCAAATTACTTAAATATGATTTTTATCGAGGGAGGGAGTTGATATGATATTATCAACACCAGATTTCATTGGTTAAAAAATCATAAACTCACCCCCAATGATAATAAACCATATATTCAACCCTTATAGCCCAAATATTATCTAATAATATTATGAATATGATTTATCGGAATATTCATTAGTTTACTATTCATGATGGTTAAACTAATACAACATTTAATGCTGACTGTCATTGGATACACAATTATTTTTTTAAATTTTATTGGTAGTTAAACATAGACGAACAATCCAATAAATACTAACGTAAAATCACAACATAATTGTCCCCTATTAATAAATAATAACAATAATATAATTTTTATTGACAAGTGCAACCCTCACGCGCTCCCCTCATTCATTGGCTCATCCTTTAAAAACAAAGAGCGTAATGGACAGCTGCTTTTGCAACAATAGTATTTATGATTTTTTTATAACACTCCACACAATTATTGGTTATATTCATTAAATCACAATTACTATATCGACATGTTTAGACACGTACATCGACACGAAACAATATTAATAAAAGCGATCACACAAATAATCTCACCCTTATACGAGTTGGTTGTCAAATCTATCCGTGACATGGAATATCGTCCTGAATACGTACAGCTACTTGTGTTGTATTAGTATTTTCTGTGTCTCGTGCTAAACGAATCACTCTTGTTATGCACCATTTACAATCGAAGATATATTATCAATGAAAATTAGTAAATAACACAATAATTTTGTACGGGGTTGGCATGTACAAATACAAATGTTTTTTTTTAAATAGCAACTGTAATTGTCCTAATAGCAAAGACCTTCCCAATGACAGCCTATTGACATCCTAAATACTATTAATACACCAATGAAAAATCAACATTTTGTTTTTTTTAACATCCCTCACAGAGGGTGTGGCTTATCAACCAATCACAGATCTCCATTTCATCCCCAAGTATAGGTGTCATACACCAATGAAAAATCAACATTTTGTTTTTTTTAACATCCCTCACAGAGGGTGTGGCTTATCAACCAATCACAGATCTCCATTTCATCCCCAAGTATAGGTGTCATACACCAATGAAAAATCAACATTTTGTTTTTTTTAACATCCCTCACAGAGGGTGTGGCTTATCAACCAATCACAGATCTCCATTTCATCCCCAAGTATTGGAGACAATGAAAGGTCACCATATTGTTTTAACACCCCCACAGTGGGTGTGGCTTATCACATCTCATCAATTATTATACCCTGGGTAGACCACGCCCCCAACCGGGTTAATAGGGGTGTCCCAGAAGGTACCATTAGATGTTTTAAATATAATATTAAATAATATACTAAAGATTTGCATCGAAGCGTTTTTTTTTTTATAGTGATTTTAATCACTGTCAGATATCATTATACTTGATCCAACTATGCCACGTCACCACTGTGCCACGACCCCCCGTGCTGGGTTTTTTTTTTAATATTTCCCCCATTTAAGGGTAATGAGAGAATTTTTATCAATTTTTGAGGGTAATGTCTTCGACTAGATACGATTTGTGATCTTTTGACGTATCATTGAAAGAAATTGGTTCGGCGAGAGCTGAGAAAAAGTGGTAATAGACACAAAAATAAAAAATAAACACATCTTAGTAAAACCAATACCTTCTCAGCTTCGCATCGAAGCTAAAATTTCAGACTTGACTTTGTTTTCATGATGAAAACAGTCATCAAAGTTAATAAAAAAAAATACGATTTTTGTAAAAAAATTCTTTTTCATATTTTTAACATAATAACTTTATGACTTTTTGAAAAATGTATGGGTCAATACAATTTTTTTATGAGAAATAATATTTATATACTTCTTTAATTCGACATACTTCTTATGATAGTGATTTTATTCACTGTCAGATTAAATCTATACTTATCTATACTATGCTATGACCCCTCTTTGCTACCGTTTTTTATTATGTCGTGGAATAATTGATGGTGTTAGTGGATAATGGAGTTAACTGATATTTTGAAATTGTCTGGGAATGCTACATTTTAACTAATTATTAAATTCTATTGATATACAATATATGAAATAATAATTATTATAATATATAATAAGACGTGAAATATCGGTCTAGGATCGCTCTTTCATATACAATAACTTAGTAACGATACTTCCACCAAGTTACTAAAAATTTTCAATTAACACCAGTATTCATTGTCTCATTTAATTTGTGTTTCCTATTAAAGTAAGATTGAAAAAATCAAAAACTTTTAGTTTTAATAAGAATGTTGATTACTATGTTTTGAAATTGTACAGCTGAGGTAGCTCATTTTTGAATCTTTTTACTAGTTAAATCCTAAGAAGCGCTGATAAACGCTTATAAGAAGAATTTCGACAAACTTAGTTTTAAAAAAAATTAACTAAATGACTATTTTTATTGTTATTTAATTTAAATTTTATAAAATATTGTTTTTGGTCTAAATAATAATAAAATTTTAATAATATTCATTAATATTTGTGTTGATTTCGACTTATCACTCATTAGATTTCACCCACTAAAGTAGACTGTGTGATATGAAAATACAAAACTATGATAAAAGTTATTTGATAATTATGTCGCGTGAGTGATTGAATAATAATTACTTATTTTCATTGTAATAGCTATATTTCTCAACTAGATAAATTTTATGATGAAATATCAGAAGGATTTTATTATTTTATGACGATTAATGATAAGGAATTTTACATCCAACTCATTTATTGTAATTATTAATTATTCACTTTTTATTATGTCTGTTATTATAAAATTATATTGAAATTTATGAATTATTTTTAATTTCTTTTTTTTTTTGTTTGTTCAAAACTATGAAGACTAATTTAACATTTGAGTACTAATTACTTATTTGATAAAATATTACTTTAAATTAGTAATTTAAAATTTACTTTTTTTCTTTCATTATTAGGTATATATAAAAATTAACTAATTAAAGTGTAATATTCTTTACAGGAAAAACACTCATAATGTATAAAATGAAACGATCTCTAAAAAATTTATGTATTTATTTTATATTAGTATTATTCTTCATTTGTCTATTTAACATATTTATTTCATGGTACAATATGGCAAACAACATTATGTCTATTGAAGGTAAAATATAATGTTTAAAAAGAATTTTAAGATTATTATGAACTAAATTTTGTTTTTATTTCTTCTAGAAATTCAAAATAAATTCTATACATATTCAGATAGTAAGTTTCATTTATTTTGATAAATTTTTTGTATAATTTACTGAAAAGTAAATGAATTAATAAAATAAAATATAGCTTGAATAAGTTAACCTATAAATTATTTTTACTTTTGTATTAATAGTTTCATTTTATTGTAATTTAACACATAAATTTTAATAGATGATGGTTTAAATGGACCAACAGTAAACATGGAGAGTTCAAGTCTGGTACGAAAACTGCGTGATAATTTTCTAGTCAAGCCTGCAGTTTACAATAAGGGTAAACGATCATATTATAAATTGTCAAATATGTATTTAAGAGATACTTCCATGGGGCAGGCTGCTGAAATTGCCAAAATAATTGACTACTCGGTAATAAGAGCTTTAATTATCATATAGAAACTTGGTATGAAAACCTCCTATATATAAAAAATGCAGTATCTAATATAATATTATCCCTTGTTGTAAAAATATTTATTATAATATATTATATTCTTTAAGTATTATTATTAAAAATATTATTTTTTGGAGGTAAATCTTTTAATAAATTTTTATTTAATATCTATATATTTATTTTTTAGAAAGGAGGTTTTTTTGTAGAATGTGGTGCTTTAGATGGTGAAACTAGATCAAATACATTATATTTTGAAAGATTTCATGGTTGGACTGGCCTACTCATTGAAGCAGATCCATTAAATTTTGCTCAAATGCTGAAAAAAGGTCGAAGAGCTTATTTATCACCAACATGTCTTAGTGTTAATTCTTATCCAGAAATAGTAGATTACCATTTTTTTATTTTGTTGTTTCTTAATAAATATTTTAATGTTATAATTAATTTTTTATTTTTAAGGTATCTTTTCTACAAAGAAAAAACATGGGTCGAATTGCAGGAGATGAAGTAATAGAAGATGAAATTATATTAAATAATATAGAACTAAAAGAGATCCCACAAGTTAGAGTTCAATGTTTTCCTTTTTATACTTACATGTTGGCTCTTAATAAAACTGTAATAGATTATTTCAGTTTGGATGTAGAAGGTTCAGAACTGAATGTACTAAAAACAATACCATTCGAAAAGATTGATATAAAAGTAAATTTAAACTGTTGTAAATTTTTTATTTTATTGTACTTAATATTATTGTAATATGTTGTATATGATGTGTATTGTTTTAGACTCTATCTGTAGAATTTTTTCATGTTAAAGAAGGTGATGATGGTGTTCGGAAATTTTTAGAAGATAAAGGTTATATTGTTACAGGAAAAGTCACTAGAGAGGATAGATTGGCAAATGACTATATATTTGCAAAACCATCAGTATTGAAACAAAATATATCATTTTATGAAAAATAAGAGATTAATATTCTAAAATTATAAGTAGACCTCCTATAAATACTTATATTTAAAATCTCAGTTTTTAAAACAATTTAATTATTTAGATGTTTATTGTAATTTTCAATATTTATTTATAAACATTTTTTTTTAATATTGTAGAAATGACAAATCTATATACTTAACTTATTTAAGTTTTCTTGAATAATTTAATTGAATATCCATTAATAAGAATGAATTTTTAATTTCTGGTGCCTTATTCTTAAGATAAAATAGTTATATTGATTTAATGCTATCATTAATTTATTGATATCAGATCTCTGATGTTTTATTATATAGTTATTGAGTTTTGTGTTTTTAACCCGAAAGTTAGTTTATAATTCTAATTCTCCATTGTTAATGGTTGTTCACCTTTTCTTTAAGTTCCTTAAAAGTTCTGATTTTTGTATCACATTTTATTGCTATGTAAAAAAGTTTTGAGAATGCCTGCAGTGGGGGTGATAATGTACACTCTAATCATACTTGTTATTTATTTGAGCGTTAGCAGTAATTCATACTTTTTAATGCAAGCTTTCTGATTTTTGTTAAGACGGTGGATGATTCTTATGTCATGTTGTTCAATACCTATTTTTCGTAGTGTAAGTAGAAATTTATTCCAAATAACTTTATTGAAGGGCTAATCTAAATCTATAAGGCCAAATATGTTACCTTATGTCTATCAATCTGTTTTGTAATTAGCACTCACAGTTATGAAATTTCTTCTCTTGTACCTTTTTTGTCTTCTGACTTCATATTGATTATTTTTTAAATACTGTTCCACTTATCATTCTATTCTTCAATTTTTTTCTTTGGGATAGTTACAATTATGCTTTTACAGTAATCATCTGGTACTTCTCCTTTCTCATATATTCTGTATATCCCAAGTTATTTGATATAAAGTGTCTTTTATCTTCATGATAGAACATAACAATATTCCAGCTGTTATAGTATCAACCCAAGTGATTTACTTTGTTTCAAATTGTGAAGCGCTAGTTCAAATTCTAATTTTAAAATGGGTAGTGTCGTTTCTGCTTTATTTATTGTTAAATCTTTTAGCTTTTCTCCATCATAAAGCTCTTTTAGATACTTTTTCCATCGTTTTACTATGTTCATAGTTGTTTATCATCAACTAATAATTGGCCATTTTTATCTCATATTTTATAGCTCAATTTTATTTTCTCTTTCCAACAAATTATTGTATCTTGTGATACACATTATCTATTTTTTTTAATTTGAATAGCTCATCAATTATGCCACACTGCTATTCCTGTAGCTTTTCTTGGATTTCTTGGCTTCTCAATTAACTACATTTCATAGTTAGCAATATTTCTGTTTTACTCTCTTATTACTGTTTTTAAATTTTCATCTCTCATCTATAAGATTTTTAGATAAGTAATATTAAATTATTTTAGATATTTCTAAATTAAGATTATAATATTGAGTAACTATATATTTAATTAAAATATTTTTACATTAATGAGTATATTGAAATTTGCAATATTAATTAAAAATAATTTTTATGTTGTTAAAAAAAACAAAGTTTTATACATTTCTGTTTTAAATAACTTTTATTTAATTTGAATTTATTCACTATTATATATATAAACCTATATAAACCATTCATAGTCATACAAATATTTTAAAAATTCTAAGACTAGTTTAAAATTTTGCCCTACAAATGTTTTACCTTAAACTGTTTAAAATTTCAACATGTCAACATGTTGAGATAAAAATATTGTTTCCTGAAACCTACACCTATGAAACATAAATATTTTTTTTAAGAATGTGTAGAATTCATCATTTTTATCAAGAGATTTCACTTTATATTTGTTTAGTGATTAATTTAAATAAATATATTTTCGTTCCAAACAATTATACAAAATTTTGAAATAAAAATGTAAAACGTGTCAATAAAGATAGTATATATTATTTATATAATTATTATTTTAGAGAAATTCTATTTAGATCACTTAATTAAAATTTTTTGGAAACATGAAAAACTTGTTCATTTATTAATCTATTTTAATTTTGGAAATATTTTAAGAAAAGTGTTAATTAATTATTTAAATTTTTTTTCCAATTCCTAGTCAATATTATTAACTAATTTTATGACATAAGTTGTTTTTAACTGTATTCTTTGTAGTTTATTTAATACAAATTGTATTTAAATAAAATATTTTCGTACATTTATTATTTTGTATTCAAAATATACTTTGCTCATTCTATACATTTTTGTAAGCAATTTTAATGGTAAATGATTCTTGATATAAGCATTATATAATATTATTTTTGTATTGAATTATTCATTGTCCATGTTTTATGTAAAAATTGAATGAAAATATTATTGAAGCTGTAAAAATAGGTATTCATTAATTTTAAATAATGTTTTGAGTGTTGACTAATATGTTATTGTTATCTAAAATTTTAATTGAAATATAGATTTTTTATTTAGTAAATACTTTTTTAATTTGTTATTTAGTATTATTATAAAATAAAACTTATCATTTTTGTCTAATATTATTTAAATTAAAGTTATTATTACTTCAGAACAATGGCATTGAAAGTACTTTACTTGAAATGGGGCTATGCACTTTTACAAAAAAGTCATAGTACAGTTGTTAATGGTATGAGCTTATGCAATTTATTATTTTAATTATGTAGTAAAATTTAAACTTTCAAAAAGATAAATATAATATCTAATAGGATTTTTAATAAAGTTTCAAATTTTAATCTTAATAAAACCAATAATTGTTGCCAAGGAATTATTAATATCTTATCCATAACACTGTCTCAAACATTAAATAATTAATTTAATGTGTATATTATGACAACTTTAGTAATATAAAATGAAAAAAATTAATGTCTGAAATTCTTATCTAAATATTTAGGTTTAAATGTAATAATCTTTTTATTTTATGAAAAAATGAGATTTTGTACAATAACTAATAACGTAATTTCAGAATTTCGTCTTGAGAAGAGATATACAAAGAAATTTGTTTACTACCTGCTCTAATATATATCTATCTATTTTCGAAAATGGGGTTCTATACCTCCGTGAGAACACCTATGACAATATCCAATGAAAAATTGAAGAAAATATCCAATGTAACTCCTTTTTTAACTTTTAATCACATTAATCGTGCTTAAATATTTGTTAATACAAATATTGCACCTATGTAAACAATGGCATTAGTTTTGATGTATTTTCAATTAATATTTGGATTCAAAATATATGTCAACAATTAATATGAAAAATATACATTTTTTTAATAAAGAGTTTATAGAACAGATTTTAAACAAGTTTTAAAATATATTTTATACACTATAAAAAGTACTTATCTAATATGTACTTACATAAAAATGTATACAATTTATTTAATAAATAATTGCGTCTACAAAAAAGTAACAATAATAAATACATTAAATAGTTGCATACATTTTAATTTTCAAATGCTCAATATGAGTGAACAACAAAAGTATAAATTACAAATAGTTGATTAAAATAAGTTATATCGATTTTACATTCTATTATAATTAGTAATTTAATCAATCCATGGATACAAAACATATAAATAAATATATGTTCTAAACATTATCATGAGTTAAAAACAGAGAAACGTTGTATATTATAATCACGAATAAAATAAAATTCAACAAATTTAAATGCTTTATTGTTTTCACCTCATTTGGATTTGTTTTAAGATTACCTTAGACGAGCTTTTTTGTTTATATTCAAAGGACTGCCAAAATGACATAAGTATTTGAACTCGAAAATATAAAATCGATACAACGTATCATAAGGTTGTACTATAGACTTGTAACGTACTATGTTACTGAGGGGTCTACAGTCTAGTAATTTATTTTAAAAGTCTAGATAAAAAAACCTAGTGATGAGTTTCTACACGAAATTTTGTTGTCTCCTCATCTCATATAAAATAAAATTCAGCTTATTTGTGGTAGCTCCTACAGCACCATGAAATATATACGTAATATGACGTTCAAAATGATAACATGTAATTTTGATTAGATAACGACTAATAAAATTTGTATACTACATTTAGTGAAAGAACTTAATTAAGTGATATTGCTTCATAAAGTATCTGTATGACGACTTAGTATTGAACTGTAATAAATATGCTCGGAATACAAAAACATTATGTTTTATTTTTAACTTTTCGTATTCTATGGTTTTGGTCTAAAGGGTAGTTGCATTTTTGCATACTCAAACAGTCCGTTAAATTATGAGAACACCATATCTGCAAATCGCTTGCTGTTATTTTTTTCAAATTGACAATCAAAAATGTTCATTCTGTCTTTTAGTTAAACTTGTTTTGACTTAATTACTATAAAAAATATTTCTTTTCGATAATGTTAAGAATTGATAAAAGTGAATAAATTATATGCGTAGAATAAAGAGATTACCGCATTGTATAATGCGGTAAGATATTAGCAAACGTATTAGCAACCTACTTGCTATTATTAGTAGTATATATTGTATATAATTTAAATACTAAAAAATGTAAAAGAATTGTATAAATTGAATTTACACAAGGAAGTGCCCTATTGTAAATAATTCGTAGAAGGTACATAATAATATACTGTACGTTAAGTTAAAAATTATCTTCAAGAGATAAGTCATTAAAGTAATTATTATTACGGATCACTTCGGCGTTAGTAAAATGTCGAAACTTAGTAAAACCTTTTTTTATATACCGTGTTATATTACTATTTATTATCTGAAGAATTGGAAGTTGTTGAATTCGATAATTTCGGTTGTCTCACATTCACATACACAGGCCTATACAAAACTATTTGTTCGGATTGTGAACCATCATAAACATGACCACCAAGTAAAAATTCAGGTCCAATATACCTACCCCCTTCCACGTGATCACATGCAACACCTGTTCAAAAAAAATGTACTGAAATATTACAAAAATAATCAATTGAACTTCAATTATTGAAGAAAAATTTGTTTCATCCTATACATGAATAATATACAAGTTTACACTAAGTACACTAGTATATATAATATAATGATTTGTACTTTTAGAACATCAGTATATGAAATGTTTTTATTTATAGAACATATCAAAAATACATTTTTTTCATTCGTATCATTGCAAATATACAATAGGGTATTTGATGAAAAACGAATATTTAAAACTCGATTATACAACCACTCTAAATTGTTTTATTATAATATAAATAATTTGTAGGACGGCTGATGTGAGCGTAATTGATGTGGGATATCGTGTCAAGTAGAAGTTTATAATAAGGGTGGGTTAATAGTTGGGATTAAGGCGAGGAAAAAGAAGAAGACAAATAATCTGTGCAAAATTAAAAATTTATAGAAAATGTTAACACATTCTGCAAGGCCATTAAGTTTGATTAAAATCTATAAAAAACAGTAATGACAAAATAATGTTGAACTTTACACTATAATTTTGTAATGTTTCACTTACAATTATGGTTGTAACACATTAGGGGTGGTAAAATCAAATTTCAAAAATTCGTATTATAACGGTCACTATAATATGCAACGTTTGTAATTTACGAATAAAATTAATATTATTATGATTACCAAATTTATTCCTTTTTATTTTATGTACTGATTTAATACTTCAAAAATAAAGTTACAAAAGATTTTATTGTTTCATTAATTATTTTCCCAATTCAATAAATATTTGAAGGGTTTACTGTAAAAAAGAGATAGCTTAATTTTTAGGGAATTTTAGATTAGACCTCTTATGACAAAAAAATATATATATTATTTAATATCAAAAAATTAACATCTATAAGTATTTGTTATCCAGTTATTTAATAAATTTAATTATTAATACCATTGTACTTTAAGGAAGTATTTCAAAGATAGTGTGAAATTTTTCCATACAAAAGTTTTAACTTAAACTGTTTAAAATTCACTTACTGTAATAAACTTTTGGTGTTTTATTGCAGTTAGGTATTCGAAAAGGTACTGTTGCTATTGTAATTGGGAAATTCATATTGAGATCTTCATCACCTTTACCCATATCAACACAAACCTATTTTATAAAATAAGTTCAATATTAAATTTAATTAATTAAATGCTATTCTTTTATTAGATACTTTTTTTCTATTATCCCAAATAATATTTTTCTGTGGTTTACACAATAGAATATAAAAAACTCAAAAAATATACCTAATAACGTAATGATTATACTTTATTTTTAATCTTTGTAAATGATTTATAAATTAGATTGTGAAAAAAAAATGGAAACATACAATCTAATAGTAAACATATCAATATATAGAGATAAAAATATTGTAACTTGAAACCTGCGTCTATGAAACTAAAATATTTTTTTATAAAATGCTTACAATTCATAATTTTTATCAAGGAATTTCACTTTAAATTTAATTTAAATAAATTTATTTTAAAATTTAATTCTAATTTTCTTCTATATATAAATATTTATATACATATAACATTTATAATTTAAAATAATTTACATGGATAACAAATTTTTATTTGATTTTCGTCCTATATAATTACACGAACTTTTAAAATAAATGTGTAAAACGTGTCAATAAATATAGTAACCATTTTTATATGATTCATATAAATATTATTTTAGAGAAATTCTATTTGGGTTACTTAATTAAATAGTCAACAGATAATAGAAAATTAGAATAGGAAGGTTATTTTAAACTTAGGCCTAATGAAACAGTCTTTTAGGTATTTGAATTAAAGTGGAAAAGATACAATAAAAATATAAAATACAAGCAACTTTCAGCTAAAAAAGATGAATCTGAAGATAAAAAGGGTAATATTTCTAAAATGTTTGCGATTCTTAGGCCTGGCATTGTGTAAATATAAATGGGTAAATACAGTAAATAGTGTATGAACAATATTCCATTCAAGATAATAAACGTACGATTAATTAAATTTCACATATAAGCGTTTTTAAAAAATAATTAAAATTATTATCTTTTTTAAATACTTTTTTTTATTTAATATATGCAATTTAAAAAGTTTTGGTGGTAAGACAAATGTAGATTCTAAAAAGGAATTTTGTTTTTTCTTTAAAAATTAATAAATGCAGAAATGTTAGAATAAAATATATTATTTTAATATATCGTTGTATACATATATGAAAAAATAAAGAAAAATATTTTTCAAGTTTTTATGTACCAAATTTATTGTAGTTTAATATTGGGTCATAATTATGATTTTCACTATTATTATAATTACAATGTAATAAATAGACACATTAAACAATGAGAATAATTTAATAACCACTGAAGAAAAATGAAAACGTTAATTAATGATTAAAAATTAATGTTACATTAACAATAAGTAGGTGTAGTTTAGATTCCCAGAAAATGTTTCCAAATTTTAAATAAATATATTTAACTGAATAATTTGAATAAGTTCTTCAACATTATGCATTCTAATCAATTTTGGTTAAGATGTTCATTAATCATAACATAGTTTTAAATCCGTTTTTAAAAAAAACCTTAGCATGTTGTTTGTAACAAAAATTTAGTATTCACTTAACGTTTCTAATATCCTGAATGATGACATTTTTTTAAGTTTTAACAACTCACGCGAAACCTAAAAGTTGCTTGTGTTACATTTTATATAATGATAAAAATTTCTAGAATATTTTTAAATGTACAACTTAGCAAGCACTTCAATAGCAATTACTAAACGAGATTTTTTATCAAAATAATTTACATAATATACAGGTTATTTGAACCTGTATTTGACTAAGAAGTGTGATCTCTTACGAAATTGATTGATAAATATTGTTAAATTATTTGTTCAAACGTTATTTTATAGTGATTTATTGTAATTTGGTTGTCAATTTTTTCAGAAATATTTTTGACTAATACCCAGGTTTTGATTATATTACTAAGGAATGTGATAATAAAAATTTTTACTACATAATTTCTTAATTATGTTAGTACCTTGAGTACATAATATATTTGTAGAAGTCGACATATCCCTATCAATGTTGGTGGCATCACCGGTAAAATAAGTCCGTCTGCTGAATCCCATTGAGACTCACATCCAGTTTGTATTGGTTCACCGATATACTCCAACACTAAATGTTGAACGTCCTTTTGATTTTGTACTCCTAGTATACCCCGTTCAATAGAATAATGAACATTCTGTAGATAAATTAACCAAGGTTTTCTAAATTAATTTAAGTACTAAAATAATATGTATTTTAAAATGATATCCATTATTAAAAATTAGTTGTTCATTATAATAAAACATATAGACTTGTGAATTTTGTTAGTTAAAGCATACAAACATGGGTAAAAAATTATTTTAAATTTGGATGAATTAAATAAAATAGATCTCTTAAATTATTAAAAGTGCGATCAAATGAAATATGATTTAGTTAACCAAAATAATACAATTCGTATCTTTAGCTATAAAAGAGAAATATTCACTATTTAATAATTACCTGAAAAAGTCTAATCTTAAGTCTTATTTCTTTATTATTTTGATTTTTTATGTTAGCTTTCAGGCGTAGTGCTTCCCCACAGACGTATGCTGTTCTTTCTAATTGACATTGCAATACAATTCTATTGCTTTTACAGCACATACAACATTTTGACCGTTTTTCTAAAGCTCCAACAGGTTTCTATAAAAGTAAAATACTTGCTAAGTAAAAAAAATTTTTAATTAAAAACATTTTGGTTGTGTGTTAGAAAAAAATGTATTGGTATTAATGTTGTAGTAATAACATGTTTGTTGGTATATCATAATATCATATCATAAATAATATAGTATCATAAGTGGGTTTATAGTTGATAAATGCCTTTTAAATTAATATTTTTATCATATTTTTCATTAGTTCTTAATAAATAACTAACGTGAAATGACGTAGTTGTTTCTCATTTTTACATAATATGTACATTACCAAAGTTATAATAGGTTAACATCAAGTCTGGATAAAGAACATGTGAGGCTCGAAGTTCTAATTATAAGTAAAGTCTCTATATCATAGTGATCATTAAAACTTTATATTTTATGCTAACTTTTAACGAAAAACTTTAAGCCTCAAAATATTAAGATACAAGTTCCGTAGTCCCCTCTTAATTCGATCTTGGTACAAATTTGAGATACTATTTTTTTTTATATTACAGTAATCAACAATTTTAACAGGAGCATCGAATGGGTTCGTATAAACTCATTTGTTTGTAGTATGTTTTAACGAACTAATTGCATAGTTTTTATAGTATAAAAGTATTAATTGTATCACTAATTTTGTAAACTGATCATACTTAAATTATTTTTGTTTAATAAATGTGTAAAGTTGAATTAAAAATTTAAAATAATGTAAACTTTATTTTTATTTTTTGTAACCTAGTATTAAACAAGATACAAAATTAGTTTCTATTTCCCATTTACTCCATTGCTGTTTTTCTTTGTAATATTCAATTTACCTTTTTTTTAAGCAATTAAAGGAGTTAAGCGGTTGAAACACAACTGAAAGTAGTTCTGTGAATACGTTTTGTAATCTAATTGACTTAAACAAAAAAAATGGAATTGTATTATGTTTACAAAATAACTCATCTAGTTTTTCAAAAGAGTACAAAATAATATTAAATAGTTTTAAACAATCACTAATTTAAAATAGTGATTTAATTTTCTATAACTTTAAATAGAACAACCTTAATTAAAAAATAGGATAATTTTTGAGAAAGATGTATCTTAGTAATGTAGATTATTTAAATGTCAAAGCTCGTTGTATTATATAACACAATTTAAATGTTATTTGACCACTAATAAAATAGGTGTTAAGTGTAAGAAACATAGCTCCCAAGAAATTTGAAAAAATCATATAATATATTTTTTAAGGTGAGGAGATTTAGCCATTTTAAAATTGAAATTACTAAAGAAATACAAGGAGAGGTGCCGTGGTGCATGTTGTTTGCTGACGGTATAGTATTAATAGGAGAAAATAGGGAGGAAATTAATCAAAGGCTAGAGGTGTGGAGATCAGCTCTTGAAGAAAAGGGTTTAAGAATAAGTAGGAGAGAGACAGAGTTATATAGAGTACGAGTTTGATCAAGGAGAACACGAGGTAGGTGAAATAAGGAGATCAATGACAATAGGCGAGGACGCGATTAGAGAGGTGGAAAGTTTCAAGTATTTAGGATCAGTTGTGCAAAAGAGCGGTGGTATTGACGAGGACGTAAGACACAGGATTAAGTGCGGGTGGTTGAAGTGGAGAGAAGCGTCTGGTGTCTTATGTGATAAAAGAATTCCAATGAGGCTGAAAGATAAATTCTACAAGACTGTAGTGTGAGACCAGCTATGATGTATGGTTCAGAGTGTTGGGCAGTTGATAAGAAAGTAGAGCACAAAATGAGTGTAGCAGAGATGAGAATGCTAAGATGGATAAGTGGAGTGACTAGAGAAGATAGGAAAAGGAACAAGTATATAAATGTGTAGCGTCAATCGTGGATAAGATGAGAGAAAATAAACTTAGATGGTTTGGTCATGTTATGAGGAGAGAAGAATCGGAAGCCGTAAGAACAGTTGTAGCAATTATTGTTGAAGGAAGGTAGAGGAAAACCATGAAAGAGATGGAGAGATGTTATTGAATGCGATATGAGGACAACTGATGTGAAAGTAGAGGATGTGGGAGATCGTGTCAAGTGGAAGTTTAGGATAAGGGTTGCCAACCCCAAGTAGTTGGAATTAAAGCGAGAAAGAAGAAGAAGGAGATTTAGCCATTTCAAACATTCTTTCCATTTTATACTTATTACAGACAAATGATATGGTGACAACATAAAAAAATATTTATATATTTATATAATTACTATACACTTGCGAAAAATGGTCCGATTAAAAAAAAAAAATTATGTCGAATGAAAGGGATATATATACATAATTTATAAAAAATAATATTGGTCAATACTTTTTTCAAAAATTTATAGCAGTTTAAAGTTTAAAATATAATATTTATATTATATATATATTAGGATGGTTCTTAAAAATGAAGTTTTGAAATTCATTCAGGACACCCCCTAGAATTGTTCTGTTAGGTAAAAAAATAAGTTGTACAAAATTTGGTTGAAATTGAGTAACATTAACACGTGCCGCAAAAGAGTTGAAAATTCGTCTGTAAGGATGGTTTTTCAGGTTTCTTCATTTATCTTACAAACTATGTAATTTACAGAAAAAATCATAAAACTTATTTTCTAGAACTATATGTTTTCCATAATAAATATTATTATAAAATAGTCCGTATCTATAATATTTAGGCCTAGAAATTTAAAAAACAACATATATTTATTTCAACCATTAAAATCAGTTTTATTTGTTTTCTTAAGTATTGCAAGCGCACTATTGAACCTATAAAAAAAGTTTCATATAACAATTGTTCAAAATTTAATTTTCATTATATTTGATGTATTTTCAATTTATTGTTATCAAATTCAGTTAAACTATTGCGTATTTATTCGCAAAAAATGATTATATACAAGTACAAAAGTACAAAAACAAAGCAAATTAATTTAATTTTATAATAAAGTTATCTTACGTTACTGAAGACAAATAAAATAATTGATAAAAATTAATCATTTTGGAAAAATGTTCACATTGCCGAAAAAATATTTATAAATATACAATGATAAAAAAAATGTATGAAAGAATATTATTGTCAACTCTAATAATTCCCTATAGTCGTCTCTTGGTTGATTTAATAATTGAATTATTCAAGACTGTCCTTAGCTAAATTAAGAATATTTTGACTAGTATCCTTTAATGAATCCATTATAAGATTGCAAACTATATCAGGCCTAAAATTATTTTTATTTATCTGGGCCTGACGTACCACCAAATTTGACATCAAATTTTGAACACAGCAGAAGTTTGATTCCCGGTGCCAGTGTTTATAAAACGGACACCTAGAAGTTGTTCCTCACCACCGCAAGAAGCAATCACAAGTAATCTATCGACTAAATTTTTACCTGTAATGACAGGAAGAAGTTTTCCATCCCAATGAAGCACAATTGCCCCATCTCTTTTTACCATAAAATCCTGTCGTATTTTTTCTGCACGTTCTTGACGGAAGAGTAGTCGAGAGCGTCGAACCGATGATTTATTCAATATTAATTTACTAGAATCAATGCCAATTGCTTCCACAGCTGCCACTAAAATATGTACCGCATCACCATCACTTATTTTACATCTATCCAGTGCTATAGACAATTTTCCTGTTATACAATTGTCAGTACCTCATCTTGTTTTAAAACATTTTCTTAGTGGTTCACATTGGTCTTCTTTTGTATTATGAGCATTATCATCAATTAGTTCATCACTGCTGCTAGACGACTGTAGTTGTACAGTTTTAGCTAATGTGTACGTTAATAGTTAATTGGTTAATCGTATTAACTGAGCATATTAAGATTTACTAATAGCTTCAATTTCTTTACTAGCACAAGCCCTTCTACGATCATCCGCTAGTTTTCTATTTTCAATATTAGTTTCATTATTTTCTAATTTTTTGTCGACGCCAACCATTGAACCAAGACGCCCTTTTTTCCGGTGAGCTATTAAAAATTCTTTGTCTTTCTTAATATTTATAATATTAAAGGCATCAGCATGAGCTATATCAAACAAATTTTCAAGGTTCGAAACAAAATCAAAATTTTTTTTATATTGAGCTTCAGTTTTTCGGTGTTCTGATTTTTGTAAATTTCTCCAGTCGTGGTACAATTTTTCTACTATTTCTATACTATGTTGTTCGGTAATTGTGGGAATACGGGCTTTTTTCCAAAATATAATAACCTCTTGTACAATCAAAGAGGCACTTAAACGCAACTTTAGTTTTACCTCCCTCATATTGTAAAATAATACTGTCAAAATTTGTCTATTGGACGGCAATTTGCTACAAACTATTTGGTTTGAATTATATCCAATCAAAAATATAAAATTTGACTCACGTAAACTAGATCTCGAAACCATTTTCAAATAATAATAATAGAAAAATAATTATATAGTAATATTTCTATTTTGTAAACACAACAATGTAACACTCAGTTGACACTGGACTGTATAAAAAAGTATATAATCATTATCGTATATTATGTAAGGATCAATAATACTAATCGCTATTAAATGCAGCAATATATACAACAGTTATCGAACTTGATTAAACTTTGATTTAAGAATAATAAATGTCAATAGATGCATTTGTGATAATACCGCAACAAATAGTTGGGTAAAAAATATATCGTTACCAAAAATAGAAAATGTTAGTCACCTATTATAGTATAATTAAAGCAACCATTAATAAATACAGGTTCAATGAATATAAGAATTTACATATTTCAGTTGTAAATTAAAAAATATTGTAATTTCAATATGCGACTGTAATTATAATTAATTTGTTTTGTGTATTAGTATAAAATCATTTTTTGCGAATAAATACGCAATAGTTTAACTGAATTTGATAACAATAAATTGAAAATACATAAAATATGATGAAAATTAAATTTTGAACAATTTTTGCATGATACTTTTTTTATAGGTTCAATAGTGCGCTTACAATACTTAAAAAAACAAATATAACTGATTTCAATGGTTTAAATAAATATATGTTGTTTTTTAAATTTCTAGGCCTAAATATTATAGATACAGACTTTTAGCTTCGATGCGAAGCTGAGAAGGTACTGGTTTTACTATGATGCGTTTTTTTTATTATTATTTTTTTTTTTTTTGTGTCTGTTACCACTTTTACTCAGCTCTCACCGAACGGATTTCTTTCAACGATACGTCGAAAGATCAAAAATCGTATCTAGTTGAAGACATTACCCTTAAAAATTGAAAAAATTTTCCTCATTCCCCGTAAATGGGGAAACCTCCAAAAAATTACAAATTTAAAAATCGCTAATTTTCGAAATTTTTTCAATTTTTTTTACTAAAAACTGCCGTAACTTTTTCAAAAATGAACATATCAATATAATTTTTTTTTTATAGATGCTTGATGTCTTTACCAATCATTTAACATATAATTTTTGTAAATCTTACATTTAACCTGCCCCCAGGAGGGGATTTAAAATGATAACTTTTTCACAAAAATTTACTATTTCAACTTAACTTTTTAAATTGTTCCAGAAGGTCTGACACTTTTTTATGTATCTTATATTAAAGATTTGTATGTATGTAATGTACTTTATTATGGAAAAAAAAAATTTGACCTCTGGGGACTTGTCTTCATGGTGAAAATGGCTACCAAATACTATTTTTGTGTGAAAATTCTCGATTTTATTTTTTACATTTTTAACTTTATAATGCTATAACTTATTGAAAAGTGTATGGATCAACACAATTGTTTTATGAAAAATAATATTTTTTTATAATCCCTTTTCCATTCGACATACTTTATCTTAATCAGGATATTAATAAGGAACTAGCAGATCATGTAGCTTTTGGAATAATACATCAATTTTTTTAAATTAAACACTATCTAAAGATTTGCACCGAAGCGTTTTTTTTTTGATAGTGATTTTAATCACTGTCAGATATCATTATACTTGATCCAACTATGCCACGTCACCACTGTGCCGCGGCACCCTTGTGCTGGGTTTTTTATAATAATATTTTTTATGGAAAACACATAGTTCTAGAAAATAAGTTTTATGATTTTTTCTGTAAATTACATAGTTTGTAAGATAAATGAAAAAAACTGAAAAACCATCCTTACAGACGAATTTTCAACCCTCTTGCGGCACGTGTTAATGTTACTCAATTTCGACCAAATTTTGTACAACTTATTTTTTTATCTAACAGAACAATTCTAGGAGGTGTCCTGAATGAATTTCGACAAAAAGAAATTGACCTATATGACTAAGAACCACCCTAATATATATAATGGAAAATTTGAACATATAAATATATGTTTTATAATTACGGAGGCCATTTATATATAAAAAAGTAAGTGTCTATAGAAAGTGTTGGGGCATATTATTTGCGAAGATAAGAAGGTATTAATATTACTATATGTTTATTTTTGTCAGTCATTTATTTTTCTTAGATTTCACTGAACTTATTTTGGTTTATGCATCAATAGTATATAATTTTATTCTAGTTAAACACATCAGTGCCGAAATTTTGATAAAACCCCACCAATTTTAGAAATTAAAAAAATAACAAAAATTAATTACTTAGAGTTAATATTATTTAAAATTATAAAAAAAATATTAATTTAAAATTGAAAAATAATTCAAATATTAATCTCAAAAAGCCACAAACATTACTACAAAATCGCGGATACATATTTTGGGAACAATGTTACCATTATAAACGCTAAATACATACTGTACTCGCGATTTTTTAGTAATTATTGTTTCTTTTGAGTTGAATATTTTTTAGTTTTAAATTGATATTTTTAATATAATTTTAATTTAAAATAAAAAAATGTCTCAAAATTCCGTTAAATTTTATTCTGTATTTTAAAATTTCTATAACTTTTGGTAAAAAACACTGTTCCTAATAAAGTTTCAATAAAATGTGTAAGAGGTAATAATCTTTCTTTTGATGTAATTCTTAAGGACATTTGATAAATGTACAGAAAGGGTTTGAAAGAGACTATCTACGCATGTAAACGATTTTTTTCAACTCAATTTTGAAAATGTTCCAGAATGTCTGACAACTTTGAACGTATATAAATTAAAGCTCTTAAGATGTATTACTACATTAAAAAAAATTCATTCTACAATGTTCTATGTAAAATCAACTGTCAAAAAAAAAAATTGCAATAAAAAAAAAAATTCTTTAATTTTAACTTGCAAATAATTTAACAAGCATTTAATATTTGAGTGAAATTTTAGTATATAGAAATTCTGAAATTAGAGATATAAATATTATTGTGAAATTTAACAGATTTGCATTGAAGTGTTTTTTATGATAGTAAACATGTGTTTTGAATACTATTGATTCCGATATTTTTTTTTTAGTAAGATCATAAAAGGAAAAATATACATAACATCCTAACGATAAATAATTCACATTTCATTTTGTAAGATATAAAGGAAACTATGAATAGTTTAGGACCTAGTATTTATCCATATATAACATATTTATACACTAATAAAATATTTATATCATTAAAGGATTGTTGAGATATATGGGAAGATTTATGTGTTGGAAAGTTTAACACCATCAAGTTATCGATTATCCATATTATTGCCATTTTAAACAATGGTAAATAGTTGTATTATAATTTTACTTACTAGATATTGATCATCCATACAGTCTATATGCGGTCCTATTATAGTAAAATATTTCATCCCTTGAGGAGGCGACGCATAAGGAATATCAAGTGTCACCTACAATGTAATATTAGAATAATCATTAATTTGAAAACATTTTATCTAATATAATTATTTATGTAGAATAGCTTTTACCTTTATATAGTATCTAACATAACCTGGCTTGCTTTCAAATGAACAAGGTAATGAGCTTTGAGGTAATTGAAACCTAAATGGAAAATGATGAATCCCGCGTGGCAATATGGGAACAGGACCGTCATGTCGATCTGCTGAAATGAATATCAAGGAATTAAAATCAGTAAATAAACTGACTATAGTATTGATTTTTACCTTTCCCGAATATAAGTGATCTATTATCAATAAAGTATTGGTCATCTTTTACTGCTGACCGATCACCACTAACCAAAATTTGCCATTCAGCATGAGCTTTACCTCTGAGAACTATTCGCATAGCTGTAAATTATTATTGAATTTCAACTGAAATTACTCTACAATTTTGCAAAATTTATTTTCTATAGAATAAATAAATAACAAATAGACAATAATTATGTTGAAATTTTGTTATAACATTTCGAATTTAAATAAAATTATAAAATGCATCTAAAATAATATTCTCAATTTTCCATAAAGTACATACAGTGAAAACTTTTTTATAAAATTCCTTAATATATTTTCATGTTTTATAATTTGTAATATTTCAATGTTTATTGACAAAAATAATCCCACTTTAGTTGGACTTATGCTTAATATTTTGTTTGTGCATACTGCAGTGAAAGCATTACTAAAGTGCGCATAAATTATTTATGTCTCAAAGTATAATAAATGACTAATGAACCTCAATCCTTGCTTCATTTGTAAAACATTGTTGGTATTCATAAAAATAAATAAATTGAATACAAAGTAATAAGTGTTTTAAATTATAAATTTACATAATATATTGATTTGAATTTATTGTTCGTCCTAAGTAAAATTATAAATGACGTTTTATGTATTTTTATCTACTATTGTTTGTGTAATATACNATTTTCATGTTTTATAATTTGTAATATTTCAATGTTTATTGACAAAAATAATCCCACTTTAGTTGGACTTATGCTTAATATTTTGTTTGTGCATACTGCAGTGAAAGCATTACTAAAGTGCGCATAAATTATTTATGTCTCAAAGTATAATAAATGACTAATGAACCTCAATCCTTGCTTCATTTGTAAAACATTGTATTCATAAAAATAAATAAATTTAATACAAAGTAATAAGTGTTTTAAATTATAAATTTACATAATATATTGATTTGAATTTATTGTTCGTCCTAAGTAAAATTATAAATGACGTTTTATGTATTTTTATCTACTATTGTTTGTATAATATACATGTATTTCTCTGAAACACGCATGACCGCAGAATTTTTACCAACTGCAATATTTAAGAATTGTTTAATTTTTAAGTTTGCGTTTTGGAGAAATAAATTAAAATCCAATACTTTCTTTTGAAAACAATATTCTTTTAATGTTATTTTAATTGATAAAAAATATTATTATAAAAGGAAATCTTTTTTGTGGTTATTTTTTTTTTTTTTAATAGAATTGTACTTTTAATAT